ACATTATAAGAACATGCCATATCATGCATGCCTGTACATGTGAGGGATTATACAAATGTGTAGCCCTGAGTGCTGTGACACAGTGAGTGATATCTGTCTGCACAGGTTTTTGTTATAGTGATTGAAATCTTAAATGAAATGTGTGTGAGCAGGCCCTGGCCATAGTGATGGACACCTTCAGTGACGTAGAGCTGCTCTGTGATCTTCTGGAGGCCAGCAAGAAGAGGAATGTGTCCGTCCACCTGCTGCTGGATCATCTCAACTTGAACCTGTTCCTCAGCATGTGGCAGGACCTCAAACTGGACAGCAAACACTTCCCTGTGGGTCTCTTTATCTACCTCTGTCCATCCTCCTGTCTGTCTGAGCCTGAAAGCATTGTCCAAAACTTGGTTAGGGGGGAAAAGCACCTGTTTAACATTCCTTGAGTGCAGTATTTTTATCATTTCTACATAAATAAATACCATTATAGTATTCAAAAAGAATACTCAAATACAGGCTAATATCATGCATGTTGTGATATTTGTGATTATAAATAAGGTAACAGTTGGACAGGTTTACATTTAAACTGATGCTGTTCTTGATGCTTGTGCAGATTTGTGCGTTGTTTTATATATTATATAAGTCTGTGTAAAGTGTGCGTATAGTCTTCATTCCAAAGCCGAAACGCTGTTTTTTAACAATACATGCATTTAATATTATGCCTTGTGCAAAGACCTGATGTGTCGCTCGTAAACACAAGAAGTATTGGGTATAGTATTATTTCTAAAAAGGTGGGGATAAATTAGGTTGTCTGAGTCAAACTTTAGTTCTGATCATCACTATCAAATATTCATTTTCAGAATACGCACCCTAAAAGTGTGTGTGTGTGTGTGTGTGTGTGTGTGTGTGTGTGTGTGTGTGTGTGTGTGTGTGTGTGTGTGTGTGTGGTGTGTGTGTGTGTGTGTGTGTGTGTGTGTGTGTGTGTGTGTGTGTGGTGTGTGTGTGTGTGTGTGTGTGTGTAGAAGCTGTCGGTCCGCAGTGTGGAGGGACAGACCTACTGTGCTAGGACGGGCAGGAAGCTGACAGGACAGGTTTCTGAGAGCTTCATCATCACTGACTGGAGCGAGGTGCTGACCGGCTCTTACAGGTACACACTACACCAGGGGTGCCCACACTTTTTTGGCAGGTGAGCTACTTTTGAAATGACCAGCTCACCGAGGTCTACCAACCAAAAATAAAATCCCAAATTGCAAGGGTTGCTGAATAACACGTTTTATTTATACATGGGATAACTACAATAGGGCTGCAACAAACAACTCATTTGATAATAGATTAATCTATCGATTAATGAAACGACTAATCGACTATTCGGACTATTACTGTATGCCTTGCACAATTTCTCAAACCCTCTTATTTAGCCATCAACTTTTAGATTTAGCTTGAGGTTGTTTTAGGCATGTGGAAACTAACAATGAAAACAATAAAGATGAATACTTGATTCAAAAATACATATATTATTAAATGAACTTAACAAATTGTTAACAAAATTAACATTGCTTTTTATTTAAATTAAATAAATAATATTTCACATCAAAAGAAACAACAATGTTTTAACAAATCGTATTAAATAATCTGATGACAGAACTGTAAACAGAATAGCTGAAACTTTAACTAAATAAATAACTCAGTTAATCATTAACCCATGTTTGTATAATTGAGTTAACTGCGTGTGTTGCTGCTAGCATACACCTGACGTGGAAACGTTACTCGTGGATGGGGCTACAGAGCTACTAGAAAGACAGTGGAATCCGGTGCATTCCTCCGTCTGCATGTGGTGCACTTTTGATAAAGGTTTAGACAAATTGCTCGTGTTACCGCCCTGACATGCTAAACACTCTTGGCAAGGAGCATTGTCCACCTCAAGACGGGTAACATTTAACCACACCTTGGAGCGCTTCTCTCCGCCATCTCCTCCGTGTGTTGCTGCTTGTAGCAGCTGCGTGTGTGTAAAATGCCCCGCCTCCTCGCGCTAAAACGGGGGAGAGAGAGAGATCTCGTCTGGATTGGAAAGATCGAAAATTCACCGACCATAGACGCATTTGTTTGTCTTTTTGCATGTTAGAAACGAGTTGGCGACAGACTGCGAGATAATGTTTGTGTAGCAATAATACATGACCTTTCTCAACTCGCTACTCGGAGGGAAGTCGCTGTCATATGCTTTGTGAACACTCCGATAATGCCTCTCCACGTTACCTTTCTTTGGCAGAGCGACGCTTGCTTTACAAATAAGGCAAATAACCTTTGAATGTGACATCACAACAAAATATTCTTCCTCCCATTCTGGGTGGAAGTGGTATGTCTTTAGCTTCTTGCTCGGTCCCGCACTCATTTTGTTGTTTGTCTCTTGTTTGTCTCTTTAACTTAATTTGAGTTTTCCCGGCACTTGACTGATTTTGTATCGCTTTGCATTCTGGGTTAACAGACTGGAAAGCGATAGGTCGCTTTTTCTGTCAATCAAGTAAACTCCTGAATTAAGTGGCAGGAGGCCAAGGGAGGAGGGATCAAAACCTGTTTTGTCTATTTTAACGGAGCTGGATTTTTTGTAATGAATGACTCGCGATCTTCCAGCATTGCCCCCGCGGTCGACGTACTGGGAGCCTCTGCACTACATGCTTTAATAACATCTGATGGCATGCTAGGATTAGTTATGACATGTTAGTATGACTTATATTGAGATATTCATTTAAAAAACATTATATTATTATATTGGTATTATAAAACCCAAATGAATTTTAATGGACAATGTTATCAAATGGTATAGTATAACTAAGTCATATACAATACAATTGTTTTAATTAAATGATAATGGTATACTGTGACTTGTTGTTTTCTTTTTATGGCATACTATATTATAACTTTATATATGACATTTTTCTAACCTTATTTGTCATATTATGTTGTTCAGTACAAGCAATTAACGGGAGTTATGAGCGTAACGTCGTCCAGCGGTTACAGATTAAGTGTTGTGCAAATAAAAGACACACCTCTGTAGTCAAAGATATAAATCCTTTGTCACCTTTCCTTACATACTCAGCTATTTGTTCTATAATATAGGTTGCTTTTTAATGGCATACTATAGTAGGACTGTTTTATGACTTTTAATGGCCCGTTTTGATCTCCTCAGTTTCTCCTGGCTGTCCTGGCAGGTCCATCGTACTCTGGCTGTTCTTGTGAGGGGCAGCGCGGTCAGACCTGTCCATCAGGAGTTCCTCAGGCTGCATTCCAGCTCCAAACCCATCCCTGGCTTTATCTCCTTTATCACCGTGCCCCTCCTCCTCCCTCTTTACCAAACATTACAGGCATCTCAAAACGCTGAGCTGAAATCCAGCACGCCCACAGCACCATGCCACAGTGCTCCTAAAGGGACATCACAAAACCCTCACACCAAAGTAAAAACGCTGGTTTCATGCAATCCACAGAGCACAGATTTGGAGTGCAGCAAGGCCACGCCTCAAAGGGCAGGTGAAGGTACACACAGGCATAAAAAACGGACACAACTGTACCCAAAACCACTTGTTAACCCTGGAGCACTGCAGAGTGCACATCAGGGAATGGTAAAGCATACAGTGGGAGAGCACAAGACAAATGTTGAGAAGCATCAAATCCAGAGTCACTCAAGTCCTCTCAGTCCGACACATGTCTCATATGTTCAGTCACAGCTTACCAGCCTTACCATCACCACTACAACTGAACAAAATGCTGAAAGGTCAAACCCTCGACACACTGCTTCTCCCGCGTACAGAGAGCTTAGGACTGCCAGTGAGAGGCCAACTCTCAGGACAAATCAACAGCACCATAATGACAGGTTTCTGTTTCGCCAAAGGAATGGGAAAACCATGCCTCTGGAGGGGATGGCTGCCGGTCCGGAGAGAAAAAGACAACAATGGAACTGCAACTTTAAACCACAGGTGGACTTTCTATCTGATAATCCCAAAGTCCTGCCTCCTTCCACATCACAGCAAAAACCAGCAAAGACAGGCCCGTGGTTCCCTCTAACACACACACGAGAACACACATCTCAGCTGCAGACTGAAGTATCGTCTCTAGAACACAGGAGGCAAGATCAAACCCAGAGACACCATCAGGTTTCCTTCGAGTCCCACCCTACAGCAGAGGCTCTGAGTCCTAAACCTCGGATGGACTCCCAGCTGTTCTCACCGTGGACACATCTGCAGCCCCCCCCTTCTCAACAAGCCAGGTCCCCTCCCATAATGAACTGGATACCCCAGAGCAGCACTGGAAGACCCAGACCTGTGGCCCCCCGCAACTCCCTCCTCACCACCTACAGGACAGACAGACCTGAGGGCTGGAGGACATTTCACAGTGACAGGACTACAACATTAGGAAGGAGCCACAGCTTGACCGACAGACACCGAGCAGGCCCTCCTCCAAATGTACCCAATATATGAAGATTAGTTTCACTTATGGTCTTCAATTTATGGACACGTATTCAACTTCACAGTCTACTCATACAGGTCAACAAAAATACTTTATTCATCTGAAATTCTATTCAAAATAGTGTATTAGGAAGCTTTTTCCAGATATCATTTAGCTTAGCATAAAGACTGGAAGCAGGGGCGTAGCAGCCAAAATGCGTATTTATATTGTGTTTATTGTCTTATTATCATTATTGTTAACAGCACACACATGTGCAGTTAGCCACTTCTGCTAATTTTCACATGGGGGTGGTTTATGGTATTTATGGCACTTTATATGTCCGGATGTTTGTCCGGATGTTTGTGGATGACAAAGCCTGATCTTTTCTGTTGCCCGCACGGTCTTACCTTGGTTATTGTTTGTTCATTTTCTTTTCTTTTTAATCCTAAAACTTTAACGTCAGTTTTCTGAAAATGTTAAGGCATGAATGACATTTCCGCGAATACAATTTGTATCAATCATATATCACTTTGATGGTGGTCCAGAAAATAATCCTTGTCATAAATCATAACACACACACTATGAAGTGGATATTTGTATCTGCTTTATTAAATACTCTACTGTATCTGTGCTTGAATAAAATGAATACAATTCTGTGGAAGTGTGTGAGTCAAAACAGTTGACATATTTCTCTTTATTAGGGGGGGTATTTCTGAGATTGTCAGCATTAAAATGTACTGTGTGAATGTATGGGGTCTTGTTATGATATCAATAATGTGGATTTCCCACTCAATTTCTCCTGCTCTTTGGTGGGACCTGCACAGGGACAGGGTCTTCCTGTCAGCGAACAGGCCTCAGTTCTCTGTGTGCGTCTGTGTCTGAGGACGGCCGTCTGTTTCTAGCACACCAGTCAGTAAGATCTTGTTCCACCAGCGCTCCTTGAAGCTCTGCAAACACACACTGGACAGACTCTCCCCGTCCTGGCTGTCCTCTCTCATTTTGTCTGGGATCAGGTCCTCTGACACCACCTGGGAGATCATACAGTGAGAAGGTGAATGTGTGTTTCTAGTGGAAACTAGGGGTGGGAATCACCAGGCTCCCCACGATCCGATACTATCACGATACTTAAGCCACGATACGATAGTATTGCGATTCTACGATATGCTAAGTATTGCGATGCGATATATTGCGATATTGCAAATCACATGGGTCATATTCATGTCCGTCTTCCCTTCCTGGTTAAAAAATGTATTTGCAATATGAATAGTTTATGTAAATAACCCAATTTGTGTTCTTTGAACCTGAAAAGGAGATGGCATTGTTTTTGTTACTTTCATTGCAATTGTATACATGTCTTAACGTAACTTCCTGTTTTATATACGACCATCTTTCGGAGCGATATGCTACAGTTTATATAAAATAAATAAATAATAATAATAAAAAAGTTTATATTAATAAAATATCGATACTTGGCATCCGTGTATCAATACAATATCGCCACGCAAAGTATCGCGATGCTATGCTGTATCGATTATTTCCCCCACCCCTAGAAACCGTCCATATTCAAGCCAAAACCAGGAGCACATGTTCACCTCGGTGAGAGTCTGCAGGGTTGTTTCTTTGGGATTGAGCCTCTGCAGCACCTCATCTGTCGTCTGTAGGGTGCTTTCAGTGCGCTGCAACACAAAGGAGGACTGCTGCTGCCGGAGGAATCTCAGCAGGAGTCTGAGGGAGATATTCAGACACCACGATTTACATTTCAACTGTGACTTTCGTCAGAGTATTCACAGATTATTGTGTAGCTTGATGTGGGCAAAAAATACAACTCTGATCTTGGTGGGGGGAGGTAAAAGTTTCAGGATAAAAATCTGTATATATGATTATCTGGATGAGCTTCAGATGTGCGGGACAACTGATTTTAATAATGTATATTTCTCGCTGAAGTGTTGATCAAAAGGATCAGGGGTGCAAACTTCTTTCTTTAAAGAAGTTCATAAAATATCCAATATTTCCAGTGGATTTCAACAACTACAATATATTTAATTGTAGTTCTACCGACTTCTATTAGTAAGTTGTCTAATTTGTGCTGTGTATTAAAGTGTATTTACTTGACCTTGTCCTGATGAAACAGGTGCAAGCTTTCAGCCAGACTCTGTCCCCATCGAGCTCTGCTGCCTCCTCCTCCTCCTGCTGCTCCTGAATGTCTCCATCATTCTGCGTTTTCTCTGCTGGTTCACAACTCTGTAGAGAACAAGATCCTAATAAAGGAAAATACAACAATCAAATAAAACCAATGTCAATTTGTTTTATTTTTCATTTATGCATTTGGTTTTTGCTCAAATTAAGCGATTGCAAAAGCGTTAGTTCAACATATCAATAAACAACAAACACCAACAAGCCTCCTGCATTGTTGACATTTAATATATGATATGAGTGCTAGATGGAGCCCATCCTACCTGAGGTGCTGTTGCTGTCCAGCAGCTCCAGACACATCTGTCCCAGGTTGAACCAGTGCCAGGGGTTGAAGGGCAGCAGGATGCAAAGCTGCTGCAGGCAGGACATCCTCGATGCTAAGGCTCCAAAATGCTGGTAGATCCTGACCTTCAGTGAAGGATTACATTTGAATTAAAGGAACACCTCTAAAATGATAATATTAACATGCAATCATCAGCCTGTCAAACGTTATCTTTCTCACATGCTTTCACAGTGAAGGAATAATTCAGTAACGGAGAACATTTCTTGATGAGTCGATGTAAAAGGGGGGGGTCGCGTTTAACGACAGCAAAACGATATAAAAAGACGTGAGACTGTTTTAGCATTAGTGTTTGAGATATTACAGTTTTAGTGTAACTGTGCTTGGGAAGTAGTGAGCATATGACTTGATAAATGAGACTTAGATTACACAGCATGAGTTTCTATACGGGTGTTTTCATACATTCTTTCTTCTTTGACCTTTAGGGCATGCAAGGAAAACAAAGCTTTCTTCGAGGATTCAAGGTCACACAGGTAGAGGAATGTATTAGAATGATTTGCTTGTGTTCTTGCTAATGCTTACCTTAAGCAGCAGGATGCTGATCAGGTGACAGGTGTTGGACGCGTCTTTGCTCTGCAGAGAGATCATGGAGACTGAGTTCTGGTCACTTTCTAATGAGAAGCTTTCACACTGGTTTCTTATCTCAGTTTATTAGAGCTATGGAAATGCAAATGTGACTACGGCTTTTTAATACCGGAGCTTCCCAGAATCTGGGGCACATAAAAACACAGACACACTCCTCTTTAATGGCGCAGAAATGTGACGAAAAGGGCAATATTAAGGCTGTCCCAGGGAAATTGTCAGGTTTACTCATACATCATTTTAATAGGTATGAACCCATTGAAGGCACACAACTAACATGCGGTGAAAAGAACAATGGCTATCTTGAAGTTAAGAAATAAACGTTTAATATTTGCTTATATTGAAAGTGTATTGTATCATATAATACACATATGTATACTGTTTAAACTTCAACCTACCATTTGACCTATAGCCACTGCCTAAAGGCCCTGTCACACTGTCCCGAAATGTACACCCGATGGACACACGAATATGGAATTGTGAATTTCGCACGAAGATGGCCCCGAACCACACACGAAGGCAACATTTACATTACATTTAAGACATACAACTGCAATGAAAGTACCAAAAACAATTATGTTACAGTACTATGATACTGTACTGATATCTTCAGCCTTTCTTCTTTACTTTATCCGTCGTTATATGTAGAAAATATTACGTTTTCTCCGTAATGTTGTTTCCATAACAACAACAACTTCCTGTCAACTGTCCTTCAAAATAATATATTATATCCTTTTTAGTTTCACAGAACACAAATTGGGTTATTTACATAATATATTTACATGATTTTGTTGTGCAATAAAACAACCCGATGGACACACGATAAAGGAAATGTTCAAATTCGGCTGTGATCGTAGCAACATCGGGCCATTCGTGAGGGCATCTTAAGCCTTCGTATGACCGCCGGTGGAGTTTCTCAGGCTCCGGCAGCAACTTCGTGAGCGGTGGCAAAATCTTTGGCATGCCAAAAAATTGCCGAAGGACCTTGCGAAGGTTCATTTTCGTGTTGAATTCGTGTGTCAATTGTGCCCTTCGTAAGGCCATCGTGAGGGCATCTTGTTATCATCGGTGCCATCGGGCATTCGCCCCGATCAGAGTGAGGGCGAATGCCCGATGGCACCGATGATAACACGAAGATGACACGATTTGACAAGATGCCCTCACGAGTGCCTTACGAAGTTGCCGCTCACGAAGTTGCTGCCGGAGCCTGAGAAACTCCACCGGCGGTCATACGATGGCTTAAGATGCCCTCACGAATGGCCCGATGTTGCTACGATCACAGCCGAATTTGAACATTTCCTTTATCGTGTGTCCATCGGGTGTCAATTTCGGGACAGTGTGACAGGGGCTTACACCAGTGAAAATATCTCAAATGGTGAATTATTGTTTTTGTCCTTGTTGGTTTTATACTAGTTATCATCTACTAAATGTTGTGCACAATTTGGAAAAATAAATCATTGCGAATATTTTACATAATATTGCAATAGCAATATATATTATTGCAATAGCAATATATATTATAATATTTAAAGGATCGATATAAAATAAGGACGTTTAGTCTGTAGGATACCGGATTTTCTGCAGCAACATAATACTTCATTTAGAATGATACTTTCATATATGTTGCATCTACCACATATTGCACTACCACATATTGCAATTTTGATTGATTTTGAAGCCCTAATTTTTTAAACACCAAACATACAGATGGGGACTTGCAGTCAGAATAGGAAAAGCTCATTGGAGAATTACCAACAGGTCGGTCAAGTGCAGCGCCCGGTCCCTCTGTCCCAGTTCGGTGCAGCATCGGGCCATTCCCTCCAGCACATCTCTCCTGATGGTTAGGTTGTTGGCAGAGTTCAGCTCCAGGCAGCTGCTGTATACATCCAAGGCTTTCTAAACCCACCGCACCACGACAACACAAATGTTACATTCCTCAAAGGGGATAACAGATCACATGATCGGTATGGGACTAGGGTTGGAACAATACAGTACAATTGGAAAAGATGGAAACTTTTTAATTAAATAAAAGCGTTAATTCTTACATTGAAAAATAATGTTCTTTGAAACATTAATAATAATAATAATAATACATTTTATTTGTAAGTGCTTTTTCAGGTGCTCAAAGACACTTTACAGTGTTATAAAATAGGAAATAAAATAAAATGTAAAAAGTTGAATTAAAATATTATAACAACATTAGACAAACTTATAACCAAGACATGCCATCGGACCGAGTGTAGTACACATAATGTCACTAGTAAAAAGTTACATTTTTGTAATAAGATTGTATTGAGAGAGAGAAAATGTTTCCGGATAAAAGCTAACTTTGGAAAATGTAATTAAATGTAGCATCCCTTTGCAACCCCGAAGGTCACAGTGTGTGTATAATTACATATCATGATAGCAGAACTGTGTTGTTCTAAATACAGCAGATTACAGCTGTATTTTAACATCTAAACCTGGTTTCACAAGGAGGTTTGGTGTGATGTAGTTATATGTTATTTAACTAGTCTTTTTCCTGCTATCTTGAAATGTTGCTCAGTAGCACACGGCTGAATATAGTTAATATATTCATTTTTGCTCTGTTGGGTAGAATATGTCAATGTGTACATGACAGGAATAAGTAATGTAACCAATGCTGGATATTGTTTACATAGCAGCAGCTCTAAAAACATGCAAATACCGGCACATGACAACAGTGCTGCATACTGTAACAGTCCCCGTGAACCAGCAGGAACACATTGAACTCAGAGTATCCCCTTTGTATTTGTATTTAACTTGTTTTCAACTTCACTGGTCAGTAAAACAATTCACAATGGTCGTTGAGAAGTATTTAAAATGAGAGATAATCGACTGTCTTAATACCTGATAGTTCCCTTGTTTCAAAGCCAAGTCTCCTCTGAACTTATACACCTTCTGCTTCTCCAAAGGATCATCTGTACAGAGAGCAGAACTCTCACAGAACCACTGCAGGGAAACAAGACGAAGAAATAAGGGTGTACTCTGCAAAATAACTAACGCTGTCATGTAAGGTACAAGGAGCATACCTGTTGTTGTTTTTTAAAGTCTGGTAACCTTATTTGAGTATAACATGTATGTACTGAGATAGCTTTATGCAGTGGTAGAAAAAGTATTCAGATTCTTTATTTCAGTAAAAGTACTAATACCAAACTTAAAAAAACACAATTTCAAGTAAATGTACTGCAACAAGAATGGTACTAAAGTAAAACGACTCATTGCAGAATTGAAAAAATCTTTACATTTAAGTAATCATAAATAATCATATATTTTTTAAATACTTTCCAAAGTGTTGTTCGTCAAAATCTGAATGTTTTAAAGTAAATAGTAAATAAATCTGGAAAAATAAATATAGTTGAGTTAAAAATACCAAATGTGCCTCCAACATGTAGAAGAGTAGTACTCGGGTAAAGTACCAGTACCTCAAATGTGTACTTAAGTACATTACTTGAGTAAATGTGTACTAAGTTACTTTCCACCACTGGCTCTATGTTCGTGGAGACAGGCCATACTGTTTACTAAAGAGTTGACCACAGCTAGCTTGCTGCTTCCTTTCATTCATAGCCTTTTCCCGCCACAAGACCTGGGTGGCTTCTTCAATGCCCGGCATCATATACTACTACACACAGCAGCTGCTTGTTTATCCAGTAACGTTACGTTTATAACGTTGCAGTGTATGGTTTGTATTGAACAGACTCGCCTCTGGTTCACAGCGTTTGGCGTTGTAATGGGACAGAGGCACGGCGACTCGGTCCTTCGACTGAAGAAACACAGAGTCGTCGAACGTGCTTCCAAATATCTCCATCGGGAAATCACGAATAACTCCCTACTATTAATATTTAACGCGACAGAAACAAATGTCTATCTGAAACTCATGCAGGTTTGTTTACACTCTCATGGTTACACAGTCATTAAGTGTAAAGTGCACAACGGATACAACGTCGAGGATGAATAGTTCCGGGCAGAAAGGTTCCGAGCGACGAAGGAAATGGGTTACACAGTCTATGGTTACACCTTTATATATACAGTCTATGGGTTACACGCAGCAAACATGAACACGATTGATTAAACTGAAACTCAAATGCCAAAAAAAACTATTGTTGAAGGCAAGTGTGTCGTCATAATGCCCAGCCAACAAAATTAACCCACCAAGTATAGGCAGTAGCTTACTTTCACACTATGCATTTAGAGGAAATAATATAAGTGTAAATGTCATTCAATCTAAAAATAAATACTGATGGCGGCATATAGAAAAGTTGTAACTTACTAAAGTTATACCAAAGATTTGTGGTCACATAACAATTATTGAATGAGAAAATACAAAATCCTTTTAATTTAAGAGACAATTGAAACATTTCTGCATTTGGTATATTTATTAATATCAACATTTATCAAGAAGATATGGACAGACCATTCAAATGAAGCCAGGATCCATTTCAATAATATGATTTCAAATATATATATTATTGTATTACTTGAGGTCGGCAGTTATGTTGATCTCAGCACCGCTTATATCACTATGAGAAGAACGTTTGTTGAAGGTTTGGAGTAATTCTGTAGACACCCATCAGATAAATTCTCCAACATCTGTTTCAAGGTGTTAGCACATATCTCTACATCCTCACCAATAGCTCTTTCAGAAGTGTATTTCACATTATTCTCGTCTTCATAGAATGAAGTTGTATACTTTCTGTGTTGAAGGAAGCTGTAGGTGAACACAGAATTATTACAAATAAATTCCAAACACTGGCCCTTACATATTTAGCAAAGAAATACATTTACCCTTTTTTTAATTACTAGGCTATGGTATCAGAGCAGTAATCACATATCATTTTAGTTAAGTTAATGTGCATTAAGTGAGCTACTTACCAATCAGAGAGAAAGTATAGCCACTTCAGTTTATCGTCTATACAGTGACCACAGATATATACATTCAGAAATAAAGGTTACATTTCCTTTAAATTGCACAAGCTATATCTAGAGGGAGATATTTTGTAATGACTCAAATTGCAAACATATAGGATCAAATGTAAGTTGGACCAACCTTTCTTACCTTGTTGGGCTTTTTCTCTCTCCACAATTTACAGCTGTACTAATCTCCTTCCCTACTGAACATATACTGAACAAAAGCAACATTGCTCAGCTGTTATTTCCATAGTCAAATCACCTACAGACTTATTTTAATATCTGTGAACATGACTGCTGTGTTCTCTCTGCTCTACCAACAACGGAAGAGTGTTACAACATGCAAATATCCCTGCATCTCCTTCATATTAGCGAACAGGATGTTTTTTAGCTGTTTGGGCCTGCGTACGTTTGTTTAGGTATCCTACTGAATACATTTAATCATCTGTTACATTAAAAAAAGGCTTTTGTTTGATGGAGAAAACTAATAATATTACAAAATACTGTATTTCAAACTACTGACAACATTTTAAACACTGTTACAAATAACAGCAGTGACGGTTAATTACTGATACGATTCTCAACGTAAAAAGTAATAAATAGTGACTGACATAGTTTTATTGGGACATTCTCAATACTTGCTGATCTGGTTCTGCATTTAGTTCTTATTTCACATTTACTCAAAGCAAAATAATGTTGCTCACAAAGCTCACATATTAAAATCTAAATGCATTGGGGTTTGTCTTTAAAGAAGTTTCATTTAGCTGGAAATCCGGACAAAGCCTCAATTAAAGCAGGGACTTAACATAGCACAAACTGTTGCCTTTACATCTGGTCGCTACGAGCTGATGGTCGCAGGGTTCACAGAAAGGAATAGTTGTCTTTCTAAAGCAGAGGTGACACCCAAAGATACAGTTTTTAATCTAAGTTTACTCTCAGGGTTTAACACCGTTCTGAAATATAGTTCAGGCAGAGTAGGAATAACTTAACGTAGATGGAAATATCAGTATCATAGACACAGGATAACACACATTGAGTTGTTTGAGGTCATCATCAGTGACATTGTTGCATTCATGGCATAGTTTCTTAAAGTTCAAGACTGAGATTTAAAAAAAACTACCTCTAGGGCAGTGGTTCTCAAACCTTTTTCAATAATGTACCCCCTTTGAAACAAAAATTCAGCCAAGTACCCCCTGATCAGTGCAAAAACAATTTGTCAGGGGGACAAAAGCTCATATAAAGAGGTACAGTACAGTGCTGCACCATCAGTGTCTGATTTATTAAAAAAACAACCTTGTTTTCCTTACTGAGAAACACAGTCATTGTCTGCCTGCTTATCAAAGGACATCTAAAGCAACCACTGTTCTACCCTGGAACCGAGGGGAACTCTGAAAGTATACCCCATTGGCTACAAATCAATATGATTGGTTGATCAAACTGTCAGTCCAAACGTACGCTCTCATTCAGTGCAAGGGCCAGGGCATTCGATCAAGGATGTAGAATACCTTGGTTGAAGGATGTTCTATCCAGAGACCCAGAAAAAGATCTGATTGGTTGCTTTCTTTTCTAACACAAAACCACTGAAATGCGTAGTGCATGGTCCAAGAAGGACAAACAAATGAACGTAACACTGTAATATTACAGATCAACAACACAGATACGATTCTCATTTATTCATTTTATATACATTTTATTAAATTGTATTTATATAATTAAATCGATTTTGTTTTGTTTTATCTGAGTGTTTCAGGGTATTCTCTGAATACCCTGAAGGCCCTGACGGTTCACCACTGATACGGTGTACATTTTATTCAATCTAAAAATAAATACTGATGGCTGCATATAGAAAAGTTGTAACTTACTAAAGTTATACCAAAGATTTGTGGCCACATAACAATTATTTAATGAGAAAATACAAAATCCTTTTAATTTAAGAGACGACTGAAACATGTCTGCATTTGTATATTTATTAATATCAACATTAATCAAGAAAATATGGACAGACCATTCAAATGAAGCCAGAATCCATTTCAATAATATGATTTAAAATATATATATTATTTAATCACTATATTAAAGTATCATAAATTACAAATGAAGGATACATTGAAAACACTTTGAACACATTTTACAAAGTCACTGCATATCTGGCCTAAAATACATAGTGACACAAATTAAATCAACTGTTGCCATTTAAACCAATTTAAAGTATAAATGATCAGTGGAAATACCCTCCGCTTTGTTCCATCACTTTTATATGGGATGCTGCTGCACTGAGCCTGAACCGTAACATAGCCTACCTATTGGAGGAGAATCTGTTGGAACACAATATTGCCACTACTAAACCTAATCCAAATTAAAATAAGACCAGAGAAGAGACAACAACAATGATTTCTCTCACTTTGCACAGATGAAATTAAGCTGCTGATCAGCGTTCTTTTTGTGCCAATGATGCTCCCAATTTTTTTCCATGGCAGCACTCACGTCACAGACGTCTGTCCCACTTTCTGGGGCCCAGTATTCAAATGTTAAGCAGTGATCATTAACCCAGAACCAGAAATCAAGGATGCAGATGTGGCCGAGGCCCAGCCACACAAAGTCAGTGGTGGCCTTCATGGCCTCCAACCCAACCAGGGTCTGGGTGTTTGCGTCAAGGATGGAAGCCAGGTCCATGTTCTGGGCCCTGCAGTGAGACAGAGCTTCTTCCCAAGTCTTATTCTCTTGGATCAGCACAAAGGGTGATTCTAGAAAAACAAACACATAAGCTTAATATTTTTAAAGTGAATAAAAACCAAATATGTGAATAAGCAGTTTTGGTGGTAAGGGCAAACACACAATAGTTTGTGTTTAGTTATCTCCCACAGTAATGACAGTAAATAATAGGACAAAAATGACAAATGATTTTAAATCTTCTGTGGTAATAATTAGGGCTGGGCGGTGTGACAACAAACTCATTTCAAGTTTTTTTCTCCAAATTATAACGGCATCACGGTATTTATTTATTTTTCAATGATTTGACATTTGTTTACATTTATATGTTTTTCCTATCATAGAACAAATGCTTCTTCAAGCGACGCCTGACTCGACTTTACACATTTGTTGAAGCCCATCATATTTTCATACATTCTTCGTACTCCGATAACTATTTTCTGTTGAGGTGGTGGAGTAAATTACTTGTGTTAAATAAATGCAATAAATGTTGAATTGGTCCAGGTCAGATTTTTTTTATCTGAAAAACCTCCAAACGACAGACACAAAAAAGTTGTTCTTGTGTGTCATATGTATCTCCATCTCCAGTCTCATTTTCTTCAGTGTCCAACTTTACATTCAGCTTCGCATGTTATGTTACTGCTACTACACTTGGCACTGTACCCCAGCATGCATTTCAGCGGTGCGGCAGTGAAAGGAGTGCCAGGGCACACTTTTATGCTAATTATTAAATTATTATATATATTTTGTACCTTCTTTTGTGCCATTGATCTTCACTTCGCACAGAACTAAAGGCTCCTCTTTTGGGTAGATCACAGTGATGTAGCGTCCAGACACATTTCCATTACCTTTAAAGGTATTCCAAATGTCTGTGGCGAAGTTTTCAATTGTTTCAAACCTTGAAGAGAGAAAAAAAGATGAACACAAAGTAAGATGGAGACACATTTTCTCTGACGTCTTGAAGCCTGAAATGGGAATTAAAGTAAATCAAAGTAACATGAACTTAGGCTATTACTTGAGGTCGGCAGTTCTGTTGAGCTCAGGAGAGTACCCGATGTAGATCTCACAACCGTTTATAACACTATGAACAGACGCTTTGTTGAAGATTTCGATACTACTAATTCTGTAGACACCCATCAGATCAATTCTCCACCAGCTGTTCATCTGTTGCTTGGTGTTAGTACATATCTTTACATCCCCATCAATAGCTCTGTCAGAAGTGTATTTCAATGTATTGTCGTCTTCATAGATTGAAGACTGGCTTGTTTCGGTCCCATTCAGTTGTATACTTTCTGTGTTGAAGGGAGCTGTAGGTGAAAACAGAATTATTATATACAAATAAATTCCAAACACTGGCCCTTACATATTTAGCAAAGATATACATCTATCCTTTTTGTAATTACTAGGCTATATCAGAGCAGTAATCACATATCATTTTAGTTAAGTTAATGTGCATTAAGTGAGCTACTTACCAATCAGAGAGAAGAACAACAGGCTCCACAGCATTTTTCTTGTGGAGAAGAAAGTATAGCCACTTCAGTTTATCGTCTATACAGTGACCACAGATATATACATTCAGAAATAAAGCTTACATTTCCTTTAAATTGCACAAGCTATATCTAGAGGGAGACATTTTGTAATGACTCAAATTGCAAACATATAGGATCAAATGTAAGTTGGACCAACCTTTCTTACCTTGTTGGGCTTGTTCTCTCTCCACAATTTACAGCTGTACTAATCTCCTTCCCTACTGAACATATACTGAACAAAAGCAACATTGCTCAGCTGTTATGTCCATAGTCAAATCACCTACAGACTTATTTTAATATCTGTGAACATGACTGCTGTGTTCTCTCTGCTCTACCAACAACGGAAGAGTGTTACAACATGCAAATATCCCTGCATCTCCTTCATATTAGCGAACAGGATGTTTTTTAGCTGTTTGGGCCTGCGTACGTTTGTTTAGGTATCCTACTGAATACATTTAATCATCTGTTACATTAAAAAAAGGGACATTTAGTTCTTATTTCACATTTACTCAAAGCAAAATAATGTTGCTCACAAAGCTCATAATATTAAAATCTAAATGTATTGGGGTTTGTCTTTAAAGAAGTAGAACATATTGTTTTTCATTTAGCTGGAAATCCGGACAAAGCCTCAATTAAAGCAGGGACTTAACATAGCACAAACTGCTGCCTTTACAGCTGGTCGCTGCGAGCTGATGGTCGCAGGGTTCACAGAAAGGAATGGTTGTCTTTCTAAAGCAGAGGTGACACCCAAAGATACAGTTTTTAATCAAAGTTTATGACGGATACTCAGGGTTTAACACCGTGTTGAAATGCAGTTCAGGCAGAGTAGGAATAACTTAATGTAGATGGAAATATCAGTACCATAGACACAGAATAACACACATTTAAACTGTAGAGTTGTTTTAGGTCAGCAACAGCGACATTTCTGCATTCATGGCATAGGTTTTTTAAGTTGAAAACTATGATCATAGCTAATGTTTTTTTTTAAAAACCTACCTCTCTAGGGGACCAAATGTTTGTTAAAGGAGTGACATCTTTAAATAAGGGGTGATTAAATGAACATTAACACATTTATTTGGAGTATAGTTTGATCATTGTATTATATCTGTGTCTACGGACTGTAACCTAATACAGAAGCTGAGAGATCTCTGTCATGATTCGGTAAAACGGGTCCAGAAGTAAACAAGTTGTATTGAGACAAAAATAAAAAGCAATTGAAGCAATACTTTTTGGGTAAAAACTATCAACAGATAATCAGATCTGAAAAACCAGAAGGCCAAAGTTCCACTGTAAATGTCAATGCTGTAAAAACATTTGAATCTCTGATTTCTGTAAGAAACATTCAAGCGACTACCTGTCTAAATACAGACAACGAGTGAGGAGTATAGCAGGAGTAAAGGACACAGATATGACATATGCACAACAGGACATCAGGTAAACTACGCAGATCACAATGTTAGCTCTACTGCACAAAGTTAACTGCAATACATGTTAGAAATAAAATCAAAACTCAGGGAGCAGACTTGGCACCTCATCATCCAGGAACAACTATTTGAGAACATGATTAATATTGAAAACAGATGTATCAGACAGGCTGGTTGTGTTACTACCTTCTGTCTAAAAGCCGGCCAGGAAACCATTAAAGGGGCACTCCACGATTTAGTACCTCGAATACAGAAAGTTGGGAAGACATGTTTTTTTTTAAATACCAAAAACACTAGACAAAAATCAAGCTGAAAGCAACAGATTGGTGTATTTTTATGACCCTCTATATATCAACTTTTTCAAACCTACAATTTCAAGTGCGAGTTCACTGCTATACCATTGGAAAATCTGAATCCCCCTAAAGACATCACTGTGACATGAGTTTTTTCACCAAAGACCATAATACCAAATTATTTTTCTTATTTAACAAACTTCTGTTGCGATTTGTTAATAAAGCTTTTAATGTCTGTCATCATTCTTTATGACGTTATTGCCTCGTTTGTGTGTGGCAGGAGTGTTTTAATGGCAGGGAAAACAATTTAAAAGGTTAAACGCCAACAAACATGTATTGACATAATTATTTTACAAATAAACATCTGTGGTGAATTTAGAAAACTATTACATTTATATCTTTCCCCCCCCAAAAAAATGATTCAACTGTCTTAAAAATGTTTCGATCACGAGTTGGAAACATTCCTTTGCAACCAATAGTTTCATGCCAACAGTAATAGTGTGGACTGATCTTTATCTGCGAATCTGTAATATAACTTTCCAAAACAGCTCCAAGTTCCTCATATTCGGACACATAATTAACATGTAGAAACGTTTTTTTAGACTATTCCTTTAACTAATTGCATGTCTTTTCTCTTGAGTTTTAACTTTATATTATTGGCAACATAAGAACCTCAAAAAGCAACTCGGGGAAACACTGGCTGAACTCTAAAACTGACTCTATTTAAAAAACACTACTCTATTGTCTATCCACTGCTGTCTGGAAAGAGTAAAGACACAGTATTCATAGATAGAAACATATAAAACCATTTAAAACAGAGCGACTATAGTAAAGACAAAGCACACTGTGGGCTGGATACCGGGGGCAGGATTAAGCCTAACCCGGATTTAAACAAGACAGCCAGTTTGTAACATGTGTACAAATTAGCATGTGAAATACCAGAACTCTATAGAAAGGGCAGAAAATGGCTGCCGTGCAATGACTGCAATTTTGGTGATAACATAGTTCTGAGCTAAGGACTGAAATGAGTCCATGAGTTGGGAAATAAACAAAAACAAGAAACAGGTCCATAAATGAAAAGTGACTGGTATTTTTAGAAGGTAAACAAAAAAGTATCGCAGATTAGGCTTGTACTGTGCCAAGTATACCAACCCAAAACACTGTATGTACAAAATGAGCAGTTGTCTTGGTTATTGCATGCATTATTAGACAAAAGCTATACCTTGATATTTTGAATTTCCTTTTGTTCAAGGGCACTTGTCACATTACAACAAAATGCTTTGAGGATTCAACTCTCCTTCACTCGCCATTAAATTAAAAAAAAGTAGCTTGCGGCTAGCAGACTAAACTGCTTCAAAAATTAATCATTTAATTGTAGTGTAATAGTGCCTGGTGGGGAAAAAAACAATTCAATTGCCAAGGTATCCGTTTAAGTACTTACAACAAAAGTTTCAAATTTCAACTTCAGTTTTTTAGGCATCTTTTAGCAGAAAGCAGAGCTCGGTCATGCATCACAGCTTAGTTTGAACAAGCATTCTTTAGGAATCACCCAACAGTATGTGATTTCCAAAGCATTCACAAATCCTCATCTTCGGTCGAGAGTTGGGGAAGTTCTGTTCAAACAAGCGTACGAGCCATGTAGGCACATATAGGTTTATCTGCAAAGGTGAATCAGTCTCTCCTCTTTTGTGAAGAACTCAGGTTGACTGTTAATGTCCTGTCATGTCATACGGTTAAGCGTGTGAGAAGAGTTTGAAAGAGGAGCATTATTTGGTTGACTTTCCCGCCGCAAAGGCAATGCTGTGCTGTTTCTTCAGGCGTTACAACAATTCCTTCCACAAAAAAAAGTGAATTTTCCAAGAATGTCTGTTTTCTGAACAGTTTCAGTCTTTTGAAGAGTTGTCCCTAAGGCTCTGTCTGCCTTTCTTATAGACATTTAATGCGGAGAGAGTAAACAGGACACCAAAATCACAGAAGCATGTCTTGGGAAGTGCACATCAGGAGTATAGGCATTCATTTCACAAACGAGGAATAGAGGAGAGGGGTTAAGAATCAGAGGGAGAGATGGGAGGGAATCCCCATGTTTTAAAGCAACAATACATACATGACGACACATATAACACGTGTTCATTTGCAGAAGGAGAAAGGCTAAAAGAAAATCAGGCTCAAATTGTGCAATTTAGCAAAAGAAAGCAATGGATGATTGCTCAACTAGTTTTTGAGCCATATAAACATCCAAACATTTAACACATATCATTAAAAACATGGATAAATTAATACCCCTACTGAAAACACACGAGGATTAAGAAAAGAAGGCAAAATACTGGTTTAGATTTTAGTCATACAAAACAGATTTGGTCTCTCAGAGCCATTTTATGGTTTAATAAGAGATAAGGTGCCAAATAAAGATTCAGTCCACTATATACACAAGTGGACAAAGTGCATTTTTCTTTGAAAGTTTAGTTTAGGTGCTTCACGTTTGTCTCTTGAATGCAGACTAGGGTCAATTCAATATTTGAAATACTGTTTAACAGTTTTTCGTAAAAGTCAAGGTCAAGACCCAAAAATTATTCACTGACCTTGTTTTTTATATGAGCAGAAACGCCCAGACCTAAAAACATTGTGTGGTGGCAACTTGTGGTTTAACATTTGCATGGGTTAAACTCTGCAATGCATCCCCCACATCTTAAAAATGTAGTACATCCATTCAACCCATCCCAAACCCATAGGCAAGGGAAAACACTGCGGCGAAATAATTCAATTATCATTTCAGTGGACTGCCTCAGATCATTCAGTTCACACTTGGTGCCTCAGACTGTAAACTGTAGCTCACTGCTCAGAAGAACACACATTCAACGCTGAGACCACAGCCTCATACTGTCAGAATCCCCCTTTAAAAAGGTCATAATAGCACAGGAAGTGTTCTATAAAAAGGTGACATTTGTTTTAAAGCATTATTAACAGTACATACTAAACACATACATTTTGTCCATCAGATTTCTATGTGTTCTGTTCAAAATCTATAACACTAATGAAAAAAGAAGCTGCTATAAAGGGAAGACTTGGGTAGACACCCTGTGTTTAAAAGCACCGTGGCATTGGCATTCATTCAGCAGTACGGTAATTTGTGTCTTATCGTTTCTGACTTTCAGTGTCATCATCAATCCATGTCGGCTCCAACAACCTGCTGAATCATATCCGGCCCTTGCATTAGACTACACAGGTGCTAGGAAAAAAGGTGCCGTTAGAAGTAAAATCAACCGGTTCCACAAATAGACGTATGCTAGTTTCATTGGGGACATTGCTTAGCAGTGACATCTAGCTGTGATACGCTTTAAAGCACTTTTGTAAACACACAAATGATTCTGGGACATTCATATATCAGTAGATTTAAGTTAGAATTTAGGCCACAGCAGCCTAATTTAGTACATTTATCTCCATTTAAGCAGTCAATCATTTAACGAGGGGCAACATTTAAATCCCTCATTTACAACAGTATTCAT